CGTTGAAAAGATGTTACCGTAATCGCCTTTTGAATGGTTTTCAGTTAAAAACTGTTGTATTACAATAATATTCTATCCTAATTCACTTGTGATGTAACAGTTTTTTAACTGAAAACGATTACCGTCTAGCTGATACGGCAGAGCCCTGGTCGCGGAGGCTTTGTGTTTGCTTCGGCCCTTCTTAAGCAGCTTTTAATTTTAGCGTACGTTGAAATTGTGTTTACCGGTATATTCTATTTTCTTGCTTCTTATTTTCCAGAAATATGACAAGTTTGTATATAATACAATGTTACGGTACTTTTAATTTACAAGTATTCATTTTTAAAAATATAGAAGACACCAAACAAATACCAGTACTACGGTTATTTGCGTGACTCTCCCGCCAAACAAGACCAAACAGCTGGTACTCCCTCAGCCCTACCAAAAATAGCCCAACCACATCTTTCTTAATTATTCTCTTCCAATTTCTCACTTTAACTGGTATTTTTTACTTCATATTGCCTACATCAGATAAACTACAGTAATTGAGGTTAGACACTTATAAATTTGATTACCGGGTCCTGGCAGGTGCCGTTAGAACCACCTGACCCTACCAACAGTGTTGCAAGTCAGACAGCATTTTTTTAATCATCCATGTGCACGAGAAAGGATGGATGGATGAAGGCGGCATACAAATATGGCTTAAAAAAGTCTGAACTTTAGACCAGGGGGACTGTGCAAAGAAAAAAGTCTTTTTGTGTGGGATATGTTTTGGTCACATCTTGTTGACAGTGTTACTGCTGGGATTAGGAAGGAAAACACTGATACAGCTGTGATTCCTGGTGGATTAACAAGTCTTGTCCAACCACTGGATGTTTCCTTAAACAAACCATTTAAAGATGCGGTAAGAGTGAAGTGGAACAACTGGATGATAGAAGGCGATAAGACATACACAAAGGGAGGCAACATCCAAGCTCCATCACTAGCAACATTATGTGAATGGATTGTAGAGGCCTGGGATGCAATCAGACCAGAAATTGTGGTGAAATCTTTTAAGAAATGTGGGATTTCTAATGCTCTTGATGGAACAGAAGACGACTTGTTGTGGGATTATGAGGCTAATGAGAGATTGAGGATGAAGATATTGATGATCCTATGGCTGATGATGGTGTTGATCCATATGACGATGCTGTTCAAGGAGAGGACTGGGAGGAGCTGTTTGGTGCTGCAGATGATGACAAGGAAAATGATTTTGATGGATTTTAATGAAAATATTCAGAAATATGGTATCGTAGTATTTATTCAAGTCAATTAGGATAGAATATTATTGTAATTCAACAGTTTTTAACTGAAAACCATTCGAAAAACGATTACGGCAAAATCTTTTGAACGACGAAAGAAAGTGAAAGTCATTGTTTTCGTCAAATTTTATCCCACTTTCCACTGTAATACGTACGTCTTTTCAGCAAAAATATTACATTTCCATATTTATTTCTGAGAATATATTCATTCAGGCACAGTTAAGGTAAAATATACTTGTGATGTAATATTTTAATGAAAATATTTATAAATAAGGTATCGTATTTTTCTTTTGTTTCAAATTTAATTAACAAAGATTGATGTTTCAAATTTAATTTAAAAAAATTTATGTATCCATAAATAAACTTTTAAAAATGAATACTTTATGTTTTACATACTCCTGTGCATACCATACCATACCATACCATACCATACCATACCATACCATACCATGCATTTGGCTACTTTTGGCTTGCTATGATGACGCAAGAGATCTGCCCTGGCAACTGTACCGACACTCACAGTGGGTGGTGAGTTGGTGCGTCGTTTCCATTGTTTACTGGTAGTTACTGGTAAATATTTTTCAACCTAACGAAACTATTACCCGTATAGAGGTCGACCCCCAACTTTTTGCCAAAAAATTTGGTCTTAAGAACTCGTGCTATACACGGGTATATACGGTATATATATATATACACAGTGGTCCCTCAGTTAACGAGCAGAATCCATTCCAGCAGGTTGCTCGGTAACCGAAAAACTCGTTAACCGAAACCATTGTTTCAAAGGGTTTTTGTGCAATTGGTTCCAGCTCACCGAAAATTGCCTAAATTCAACAAAAAAGGTAGAAATGTACACTTACTTTGTGTATTTCATTTACGCGTTTTTCGTTTTACGCGGACCTCCACGGTTCAATTGACTGCGTAAATGCAGACTCCACTATATATATACACATATATATATATATATATATATATATATATATATATATATATATATATATATATATATATATATATATATATATATATATATATATATATATATATATATATATATATATATACATACACACACAACTTGTACATTTTCAAACTGTCTGTTGCTCCTGTTTCCACAAGACCTACCTCTCTTCTCCACCCCCACCTTCAAACACCCTTGCATTTAGGTACAGTACTCTGTATTTTATATTCTTTTGGATATTAGAACCCTCAAAGAAGCATGATCGATAGATAATTTACCTTGTTAAAATACATGAATTCTTTCAGATTGTTCTGTGAGGACAGAGATGGTGTTGGTAAGTGTAAGAATGTTCCACCTGGTACTGTTGTGGATTCTGGGATCACACATCCAAGTGAGCGAGATTTCTATCTCTGCTCTCATCAAGTAAGTTCACCTTTATTCTGATATATTTATTTTAGAGTAGAAAAATAAACACTAGAATGTTGTATGCAGTGTTGTACGTTGACGCCGTTAATTTAACGCAGTCAATGGACGGCGGCAATTTTTTGTTAACTCTTCAGGTGAGACTGTATCATCATCCGTGTTTTCTTCTTTCTTGTGGTTATATATATATATATATATATATATATATATATATATAAATAAATATATATATATATATATATATATATATATATATATATATATATATATATATATATATATATATATATATATATATATATATATATATATATATATATGTGATGTTATCAGCCTTACTGATAAATCTATATAGAAGAAGAAAAAACACGGTTCGTGTAATTCATCTTCAGGGGTGAGTACAGACTAGAGAGAGAAATACAATTCAAGGTGTATATATACAGAGAAGGGTGAGACCAGGTCCACAATGGTCAGGTATTAGGTAATGACCCTACTAATCTTTAAATAGTACACAACGGTTATCTTGATAAAATCACACGGGAAAATGGAAACAACGGAGCACCTTAGCTTTCGTCTTTATTCAAGACATCTTCAGAGGCAACTGGATTACATGGACAGAGAGAGGCTTAAATATACAGGGTGACCTTAAAAAGATGAGGTCAGGTCATAATGATGTCATCCACTAATCCCCACACCAACACACACGTAGAGGAGCTTAAGAGAAGGGGGGTGACGATGAATTGAAACACATTCGTTCCATTGCACAGAAACTCGGGTACCCTTCTGTGTTTGTTGATCGATGTTTTAAAAGGGCTAAATAATCCTTTCATTTCTCTCAAACCAGACAAGTTCCTACACTTAAGAATATTTTGACTGCCCTATCGTAATGAATTTGTCCCGTTAGTTCGGTTCCTCAAGCTTCTAAATATTAATGTTGTTTTCAAGTATGACTCAACCATTACCAATATGTTAATAAGGAATAGCCCAAGTTTGAATGTAAATGGAAGTGTTTATTGTATTCCATGTAGCAAATGTAATTGTAATTATGTAGGACAGACAGGAAAAACACTGCAGCTCAAAATCAAACAACATAAGTATAATATTAGAACAGCATCTGAAAGCAGTGCCTTGTTCGTTCATGTTAGGAATAATAATCACCCCATTGCTTGGGAAAAAAGCTTAGAAATATTTAAATCATCTTGTGTCACAGAAAGACTTCTGGTTGAAGCTAGTTTGATTAAGGAATTAAAATTAATAAACCTTAGTGATGGTCAGTTCAAAACTGATAATATGTTACATAAATTTATTTGTCAGTGGTCCAAGGTTAAAATGCTTTGAAAACCTTAGATCTAGGTGTATGATAGTTATTTTGTGGGTCCCTTATTTTTGACCTGACCTGACTAGTCACGTCACCCCCCTTCTCTTAAGCTCCTCTACATGTGTGTTGATGTGGGGATTAGTGGATGACATCATTATGACCTGACCTCATGTTTTTAAGGTCACCCTGTATATTTAAGCCTCTCTCTGTCCATGTAATCCAGTTGCCTCTGAAGATGTCTTGAATAAAGACGAAAGCTAAGGTGCTCCGTTGTTTCCATTTTCCCGTGTGATTTTATCAAGATTTATCTTATCCACGTTTTCATTGTGGATTTACATGAAATATATATATATATATATATATATATACAGTCAACCCTCACTTTACGCGGTTAATGTAACCCGCAGGGTCCCGCGTAAAGTGAATAACATAACATATGGGATTAATTGAAATAGAGTCCGGGCCGACCCCCAAACTCCACTTTTTGACGACACACAACTATGTTGTAGTATAAATTTTATCTTATCTTTATGATGGTATGAAAAAACAAATAATATAGAAGAGGTTAGGTTAGGATAAATAAAGGTTAACATAGGAAAAATAAAGGTTAGGTTAGGAAAACTAAAAGTTATGTGGAACACTTACGTTAGTAGAAGAGATGGGTCGGCATACGGGGATGGAGGCTGGTTCCGAGGAAGAGGGCAGATTACTGGCCCTCAGGTGAATCACCATTACTAGGTGAATCACCATCACTGTCACTTACAGTTGTCAGGGCTTCCCTGACAAATCCCTCAAAGTCATCTTCACTGTCACTATCACTGGCTTGGGCTGGCTGTGGTGGGTTGCGGGCGAAGAAACAGTGGCGTAGCTAGAGGAGGTCTGACAGGCCTGCTCTCACAAAAATACATATATTGCACAGTGACTACTTTATATATATATATATATATATATATATATATATATATATATATATATATATATATATATATATATATATATATATATATATATATATATATATATATATATATATATATATATATATATATATTAAATAGTTTGTGTACCATTATAATATTACTGTACTTTCACATACTCAAATATAGTATGCTTTAAATACACACCAAACATACTTAAACTTTATAAGTTAATCCTCGTCGTGTCTGACCTAACACCTGACCCACACCACATGAGCTCACTGGCATACTTGTTTGAAGTTGTTTCCTTAATCCTCAACAGGTTACAGGTTGTGTGTGTGGCCGGGGGGGGGGGCGCATAGCAAGGGTGTAGCTCATGACGTGGCCGTGATGATGTGGGTCAGGTGTTAGGTCAGACACGACAAGGATTAACTTGCCGCCGATACAAAGGGATGGATTAACGTCTCCAGTAGCTGCAGATATGGGTGATGAGCAGACCCAAAAGTGCCACCCCCCAAAAGTGCCGCCCGGGGCGGACCGCCCCCCCCAGCTACGCTAGTGCGAAGAAATCTGTTATGCTTTGCTGACGGCTGGTGTTGATGTTGTCGTGATACACCTTGATGTAGGGCTCCATAGTCTGCAACAGCTGGGTAGTGAAGATTTCATACCTGTTTGCGTCAGGGTCATCGGAAAGGAGGAGCTTGGCTTTCTCGATACACTCGATGGCACCCCTAACATTACTATGGATAAGTGTTGTTCTTCTTGGGATGACGCACCACCTGCCTCTTCACTGACGTCGTCATCATCATCATCTACCATCTCCTCGTTAGTCACATCAGGTTCCATTATCACCTCCAGGATGTCGTCGTTGGTGGTCTCGGAGAAGCCTGGAACTGTAACAGTCTGCGCAGCTTCTCTGGCAAGGTCCACTGCTACTGCAACAATCTGAACCTCACCAGTCACAGATTGACTCCTCCTCTCACCTGGTATTCCATGCAACACATGTCTCCATGCGTGACGAATTGTAGCAATAGACAGCTGATCCCATGACTCCACCAAGAAGTCCACAGCTTTCTTGATGTTAAATACTCTCCAGAATTGTTTGAACAGTATTTTTTGCTGTGCCAACTGTTGATCCTCATCTTCTTCGCTCTTGCTATCGTTGGTGGTGTCACTCACTTTGCGCAACTCTTCCCTGGTGTTGGTGTAGTCGTTCAGGAGCTGGAATTTTTTCGTAGAGAATGCAGCCTTTACATTACAGATTAACTCTTGGTCCATGGGCTGTAATATAGACGGAGTGTTGGGAGGAAGGAAGACCACTTTTACGTTGGGGTGATGATCTAACAGTAGGGGCGAGTGTCCTGGTGCGTTGTCCAGCAGCAACACAATCTTGAATGGCACATTCTGTTGCTCACAGAATTTCTTTACATCGGGAACAAAATAGTCATCAAACCAGGAGAGGGACAGTGTAGAGAACATCCACGCCTTACGTGCGGTCAGCCAGTGGACATTTAGCTTGGTCGTGTCCATGGTTTTGTAGGCGTGCGGCTTGCGTGCTGTGTGGATCACCGATAACTTGAGCTTACTGGTACCGGAGGCATTGGTGGTAAACAGGACGGTGGTGCGTTCCTTCTGCATCTTCCGGCCCCGAATCTTGCTGGCATTCTTTACAACGAAGGACTTGGAAGGTAGCTTTTTCCAGAAAAGACCAGATTCGTCCATGTTAAACACCTGGTTGTCACTGTACTGTCCTTCCTCCATAATCTCACGTAAAAACGGAGGAAATTCCCTAGCCGCAGCACGGTCAGCACTCGCTTCTTCACCACCAATGTTTATATTGGTGATCTTGTTCCGGATCTTAAACCTCTGTAACCACCCAGAGGAAGCATTAAAGGGTATATAAAAGGAACAGTGTGAGCAGTTTTTTTCAACTTTTAATTGAATTAATTTATTATTTCCAGGGTATTCAAGGTACCAGCAAACCAACTCATTACCATATTCTGTGGGATGACAATGATATGACAATGGATGATATACAGATGCTAACCTACAGTTTATGCCATCTGTACTTTCGTTGTACAAGATCTGTCTCCCTTCCAAGCCCTGCGTACTATGCTCATTTGGCTGCTTTCAGGTAAATGTCTATGATTGTTTACATATATATATATCTCAGGAGAGTATTGAAATTTTCTTAGTTTTCAAGCCACTTATTGCTTAATACGGGGTGGAAGTAATCAAGGGTTAACACACACCGGACATTTATTTTCCTTTTTCTTGTGCCTTCCATTCATTCATGCAGACTGCTGCTTCCTGGATATCTATTCCTTTCATTTATATGTCCTTCACTCTATCTATCTGAATCATATAGTTTTTCCTTGACTCCAAGAGATCACCATAGTTGATCAATGCATGCAACTGGGGTAAGCATTACTAATATATTTTATGTTATTATTTTCTGTATAATGTATATCCATAATATAAATATATATAATGGAATGTGTGCTCATTTTTTACAGTAACATACATACAGTATGTATAGCCACCAGCTTATGCAAGTTAAAATCTCTAAATATTTACCCTAAGCACATTTTATTAAGATATTTTTTAGAATAATTTATAAATTACCACAGGCATGGGTGTACTGTGGAGGGACTGTTTCACCCCTCCTTTCCCTTCACCTTTGTTAATGAAGGGGTTTTTGTCAGATCATCTTAATTTAACATGCCAAAGTTCCCTGTTCAAAAGGATGATTTCACGGTGTCCTGCCATAATGAAAAATTTCTGTTTCACGTGGTGATAATTGGATGATATATGTTAAGTACCATTTGTAAAGATATGGTAGAAACAGAAAGAAGGTTGTGTTGATCAACCAATTAAAAAAGAAAAGTTGTTAACAGGTGATATGCTGATTAGTGGTGTTGAATGCATTAAAAAATCAGTACAGTAGTTCAGTCAGGGAAAGGTGTTCCTATACCCCCTGTGATAACCCCAGTCAAGATGTTACAGTCAAAAGCATAACTCGGGAATCTGAAGAAATCACAAGTGTGGGGGGGGGTGGTGTTATGGGGATTGAGGAGGGTAAGGGAGTTTGGGGGGGGGGGATGGGAGAGGGTTATTGGGTTACTTGTGGAGTTACAATGCAGTATTTATTAACTTTTTGATGGTCATGGAAGAGAATACTTGTTCTATATTTGAGAGGCGTTGTTGGTCAAGAATGTGTATTAAGTATACACATCCTGCAGTTTTGGGCTTCACTATTATGCAAAATAAATGGGAATTGTTTTATTGTTTTTTGAAACCGTCTTATTTTTTTTGAGTGGTAGTGATATCGATAATGAAGCCACGTGTGATGAAAGTGATTTGACGCACAGACCTGGATTACATTTAGGGAAGTACTAGTAGTGAAAGTGAAGAAAATATGTAAGGGGATAAGGAAAATGAGGAACTATATGTGACTCAGTGTGAAGGTGATGATCAAGATTGGGTTCAAGGACCTTCTTGGCATCAGCATTAGGAGAAGTAGTGAGATTGGGCCAACTAAAAAAAAAGGAGAAGCGGGAAGACACCATTGTCTCGCCGTTCTCTCTCTCTCTCTCTCCATGTAATCATGAGCATCAACCAACCCTATGCTCCTCACCTGCCTCTGAAACCCCCCTTCTCAACACAGGCATAAGCATTTTATCTCGACGCTCTCCCTTACTCCGCTCACCCACACCTGGTTCATCTTATGACCCTACACCCACCCCCTGGGCCTGCCTCTCCTGCAGGGATGGATGACACAAACAGCGATGATGACCCAGATGACCCCCAGCCCACACGTTGCCACCCTGCCACTCATAAATAGAGTACTGGACCACTGACCTGGTACAGACTGCCACTTCAATATTTCACAAATTACTCTCAGTAAACAGTTTCACAAATATTTTACATTTGCTCCACGTCTATGATAATCTAGAGGGGTACAGTGACTCGACGAAGAAAATCCGCTATGTTTGACAACCTACATGAGAAATTCAGGACCCTCTTCTATCTATACTACCAGAATATTTGTATTCGTAGAAGTATAGTGCTGTGTCGAGGCAGTATCAGTTTCCACCCAAGCGACACCATTTTGGCCTGAAGTTGTTTGTGATGTGTGATTGCAAGATGAGCTACATCCAAGATATTATGTACATGAGGGCACTACTGATACAACACTTGATCCTATCACTGGCCATTCTGGGGGGACAGGGTAGTGTTTTTCCAGTACAGGTACTTACATGACAACAAAGACCAGGGCTTGTGGGACATGCAGAGCCAAGCGTATTGCTATGCCATACCTCCCCAACAAAAAAGAAAGGAGTGATGGCCAAGTCATCCTTAGGAAAGCACACTAATGCCTTTCAATATAATGGTGTAATAAGAAGGGTGTTCATTTGATGTCTACTGTCCACCTTTGTGCTGAGCCATAACATACACAAGGCAACAAAACAATACGAGATGAAACCTGAGTGTTCTTTTTTATAATATAACCATGAGACTTGGAGATAAATCAGATGCAATGATCTCTAGTGTAAAAAGTGCCTGGAAAACAACGAAATGGTATAAGAAAATGTTTTTCCATCTCCTGGACATGTTATTATTAAAATGCACACATACTATACCAACAAGTGAAGGGAAAGAAATTCACTGACCACACCATTCACATCCTCAAGCAACTTCTGGCTGTCTACCACCAACTGTGTGAGCCACAGTCCATCCACTCCCAGAAACACATCAAAGCCTTAATGCCTCCCAGTTTGCTCAAATCCCGGACTGTATCCTTCCTACAGCATCAATGAGACACCCAACGAGAAAATGCCATGGCTATGTATGCACATTCAACAAAGCAACCTCAGGTGTACAAGGAAACATTTTACATGTGTTTGATGTGCGGCCACCACCATGTGTCTTACCGTGTTTTAAAGTGTATCACACTTGAAATGTGAAATTCAAATAGTGTTCAAGTATAGAAATAAGTGCCCAAGTATGTGGAAAAATGATGCATGTTGTGAAGAATAGCGAGGGTGCACCATTTGAAAACATTGTGCTTCCCCATCTGGAGTACTCAAACCCCGTCTGGTCC